GACGACGACGACGACGACGACGACGACGACGACGACGACGCTCCTCGTTGTTGGCAGGATTCTCCTCTCTTTCATTTATTAGTTCAGCGTCACCACCGGTTTGTACTGAAAAATTAAGCAAATCTTGTTATACATTGATATTGATAAAATAAATTATGCTAAAATATTATGTTAGATTGCGATAATTTGAAAATGTTTATAGTTATAATATTAATATATATCATATATAATCGTATGTATAAGCAAATATCACACGTAAATCTTTTGTTACATTCGAAGTACTGACTACGTTTAACATACTAAGGTAACTCATCTTTAGTTGCTTTGTTCATTCGCGTGAAAATCTCCAGAATATCGATTCGATTGATTTGTATTATTCGAGCGGCATATATGAAATATCTAATAAAAAATTCATAAATGAGAATGCAATTACGAGAAAAATATATAAAAAGTTTAATGAAATATTATTACCTTCAACATCATGAGCATAGTGTTTAGCTTCTTCCTCCTCCCCATCTTTCTCTTTTTCATTCGCGTCTTCTCCAAAGCTTCTTGCGTCTCTTCTAACTCCGCGATATTGTCGGATTCCATCACCGAAATTTCGCCACTGTTATCCACTTCCCCCTTCTCCTCCTCCTCTTTCTCTTCTCTCTCCTCATAACTTCTTCCTCCTCCTGCTCCTCCTCCGCCTGTTCTTCTTCATTTTCTCGCACTAAAAAGTAACATTTCGTTATCTTTTGCATAACCTACTGTGGTTTTTCGCTAATTTTTTATAACTTATGTGATCGAATAAGGGGGCTCCATTATGCGTATATGGACAGAATCCTGCGATTCATCATTTAAAACACAATTATATTTTCACAATTATATTAGTATTATTATTCTTATTTATTATTCTTATTTATTATTTGATTATTATTATTCTATCCTTACAAGAACTGGTTCTTATAATAAGAAATATTTTAAAAATCCAACTTACCAGATGATAATACAACCACGAGGATGTCGTGCTCATTACGGGTGTAATCCCGTACGCCTCAATTCGTGCTCTTACTAGAAAATTAAATATTTTTCGCAATAAGTTTATTACAGTTTTTTAAGATTAATTTGGGAAATTTGGGGGATTATTAATATTTCAGATTGATTGCGTTGAAAGTCCGACCATATCGGCATGTAATTATCATTTCTGAAATTAATTCATTTATTTGAAAATATATATATTATTCAACATCTCAACACTCAGACTGTAGTGACGCTTTGTATTTAAATTAATGTTAATTAAATATTTTTAGTAGCCTATTTAATTCAATTTGCAATTTAATTTCTAATTAATTTTCATTATTTTTTAACTTATGTACTGGTCGTACTGGTACGACTTCATCAATCGCTTGTTCGACTGGACGTCGTCGCCTCAGACTAAGCCGACCTAACGGGTGTCCTCCACGATACGGAATCGCCCGGTCTACTATGAAACAAATGTTGGAATTTAATAAAACGAACTTTTAATAAAATTTTCTTTGATTTATTTTAAAAAATATGATGTTATGAGGGCAAGTCAAAAAGTTCTTAGAAAATCAGTCAGAGGGCACTCTCAGTGTCATGTCACATTACTTTTTGATAAGTAGCATCTTTCCGCTTATTACTGTCAAATTTTGAGTGGAATTCATCGCGTGGTTTCATTTCTGTAGACGAAAGCGAACAACTTTTGTATTTTTTGCAAAATGGAAAAAAAACGAGTTTCGTGCAGTGATCAAACATCTACATATGAAAGATTTAACGAAAGAAATCCGAATTGGATAATGTTCATAGCACATCTGCACCACCGTTTGCGACTGTATACAATTGGGTAAATGAATTTAAACATGATCATATATCCACATGTGATGTACCTCGTTCAGGATGTCCAATTGAGGCTGCTATGCCAGAAATCATAAATATAGTATAGATAAAGTTTACAATGTTGTTTTGACTGATCGACGAATGAAAGTGCGCGAGCTTGTTGAGGCCACAGACATATCACATGGCACAGTGATTTCAATTTTGCACGAACAATTAGGTATGGAAAAGTTATTGGCAAGATGGGTGCCGCGTTTGCTCACTGTGGATCATAAGAGCGACCGTATGACGATTTCAAAACAATGTTTGAAGATGTTTCAACGTAATCCAGATGAATTTCTGCGTCGATTCATTACTGTGAACGAAACATGGATTCATTACTTCACACCTTGACGAAGGAACAGTCAAAACAATGGACTTCACCGAGTGAACCAGCTGCGAAGAAGGCGAAGACCCTGAAATCAGCTGGAAAGGTGATAGCAGCTTTCCACAGTTTTTTGAGATGCACGCGGTATAATTCATATCAATTATCTTTCGTCGAAGCAAATGATCAATGGCGATTACTACGCAACCTTATTGGACCGTTTCAACAACATTTTAAAGAAAAAACATCCCCATTTGGCGAAGAAGAAAGTGCTCTTCCATCAAGACAATGCACGGGTTCACACGTGCCCGATACCAATGGCCAAATTCAACGAATTCCACTACGAATTGCTTTTTCGGCATTCGCCAGATTTAGCCCCCTGCGACTATTTTCTGTTTTCAAACCTGAAGAAATCAGAGGAAAGAGATTCACCACCAGAGAGCAGCTCATCGTCGAAACAGAGGTTTATTTTGAAGGATTGGACAAATCATATTATTCGGACGGCTTGAAAAAAATGAAGAATCGTTGGATCAAGTGTATTGAACTGAAAGGAGACTATGTTGAAAAATAAAAATGAATCGATCAAAAAAAAAGTGTTCTACTATGATTTTTCTAAAAACTTATTAATTTATCCTCATACTGCTTACCTCCAATGCGACACTTGAAGTCAGTTATGTAACCCCCGGCATCGTCTTCTTCATAGTTAAAGCACGTACTTCTAAATGATGCGAGATTATTTCCATTAATCTCGTATCGTCACCGCAATGCCTCAGCTTGTGCATAATGCATAGCAATGTACTGGAGCATTCTCCTGCGAAACACCCAAAGACCGAATAATTTTCCTCGTCGTTTTCTGTTAACTTTATCAGATAATCAGCTGCAACTAACTTCTGATTCAAGTTGCGAGCGACGATAAAGAATTTTGTAAGTATCGATTCGCGAAGTATCATTTTATCGTGCACGAAACCAATGATTTTATAATCTTTCAACGAAAATCAACTCTTGACAAAGAAAATCAACATAAGACTAATCCTTAACTCACATGATACGCTGTATTTATACTTGTGATAGTCAAATTCCTAAAGAAGGATGAGTCAATAAAAATTTCTAGTCGCGCCGTAAATCTAGTTGGCAAGTAGATGTTGTCAATTTTTCCGATTGATTTCCTTCCTTTTACACGTAGAATACGTTTTACACGTATTTTCTCGAAAAATTTTCAAAGTGGGAGATGATGAAAAACTCTCTGATTACGAACAACATTCTAATAAACTTTGACAACATAAATTAACTCCGTTCCGTGCATATGAGCATCACTCCCACTATCGTACGTCTTAGGAAATTTCTTTCCTCTCACTCATGTTATTATCTCAGAAAAGTTTGTCACATGCTTTTTCGTACGATGATATTCTTATTGCCGGAGTAATTCAACCTTTTCCATTTTTTGCCATTTTTTAGAAAGATTCTTTCTTACTATTAGTCGACAAGCAAAAAATAAACTTTTGCAATGAAGAAAAACGAAATTTCATTCCTATATCAGGCAGCGCTTGATTTTTGTTAGATTTTTTTTGACATAAGAAAGAAAAATCGTGGATTCACTGAACATAACTCACGTCACTTAAATTTTGTTCTTGACTTTCATTATATAACTAAGATTTAATTTTTTATGCTATATGAAAAGTTTATGACGGTTGACAAATAATTTTTCTCAAGGACGTTTCTTTTTCGTTAGAAAAGAATTTTTTTAAACATTAAGATTGCTTTTTTGTTCAAATTAACTTTCATGCGTATCCTTAGTCCCAGTCGTGCTAGTGAGAAATATTTCTAAAATTTATGAAAAATAAATTCGACGTTAAAATATTTTCTTTACTTTGGCGAATTATTTTCAAATATAATAGTACTTTATATTCGAGCAATCTTGATGATTTATTCGATTTTTTACGAATTTTAGCATATTTGCGACATGAAATATTTCCGCTATCCAATTTCGAAAAAATTTTTTCTGAAACATGCTAACTGCGTCACATAACAACATAGCAAGATTCTTCTAGAAAAGTAACAATTTAAACAAATATTCTGCGCGCGCAGATTTTCGAAAAGCATATATAAAAGCGCAAATCGCTTTAGTGTTACGATACTTTAGTCGCGTTTCGTTGTTCGAAGAGTCATCACTTCGAGATCAGTCGTCCTAGTTTTTCTTTATTCGTGTGAGAAACATTCATCCAAAGTTTTTCGCGCGAAGCAACATGGCTGAAAGACAAGAAATTGGAAATCACTTTGTGCCTAATAATACCCGTATGATAAACAATATTACCGAACGAAATGAGCAACAATATTTGCTGCTTTCTATGACGTACCCGCTCAATTCCTCTCATACGAAGAAATTACACGTGGGATTACAATCTATAAAGGAAGGAACCTTCGAGTCTATCGTCAAATTGACTGGCAATTACGCAGAAGGAATCAGCTTTCATTCAAGCTCGTGGAAACAATTTCAAGAGAATATGGGACTCATGAACACATACCTAAACGGAAGTAGCAAAATCAAAGTAAATCCTATCTCATTCGTAAACATATTTGTCAGCTTCACCTCCGCCTATGAGACGAAAGCTATACTAGTGAAAATTTTCCAAAGGAGACTTCATCAGTAAGTACGCAAGTAGAACCAGCATAACCGCCGATGAAGAAAAGAAAATCTTACTCCATTGTGATTGTAATACAGCAAACTACATTTCAAGGAATGGAAAAAATAATCAATTGTGTTGATGCGCATGTAAAACAACGTCTAGCTGACGTCTATTATCGACAATGTTAATGAATGCGCCCGATATTTGATTAAGGAGATAAAGTTGCTTCTAACTAATTCCTACATCGACAGCGAAATCAAACTCACTTTTCGAGGCAACAAAGAAGATATTGAACGCTGCGTGAGAACACAAATAAAAAATTTGACATTTTTGGAAACATACTTTAATATATTGTTTTTAGAAATAACTGAATTAAAATTCAACGAAATTGTTAACATAATTTTAATGAATCAAGGATTATGATTTTTATAATATATTCTTTCATATAGTATAATTCTTTTATCAATATAATAATTTTTTTTGTATCTTAAACTCTCGACTATTTCACATCCCAAATATCTCAGCATTTCAGGCTTAAATAATGAAGATTTTTATCATATTTAAATAAAAATATCTTCGGCACAGAATAAGAAATTAGTACAGAAGAAATTTATTCTCAAAAAACGAGTAAATCATCACGTCGATTAAGACGACGCGTACCACCACGAACTTGTTCATTCCTGTTTTACCTCCCCTTTCTCCGAGTGAAAGCAAGAGTCTCCTGAAAATACTCGTAAAAGTTATCGTCATACATAATAAGAAAAAACCTTTTTGCTAAAACGTCAGTACGTCGGAGTCGCTGCAGCAAAAAATGACCTGCAGAACAAAAAACTGTGCGCTATTTATATCCATTGCCTGCACCTTCCCCCCTTCCCCCCCGTAACGAAAAAATATCTCGGCCTCCATTTTCCTTGGTGTCCCAGTATTCATTCCTGGCGACATCCCCACTCTTCTTCAGTCATCGCGATTATGGACAGAACCAATCAGCGCGTGGGCAGCCATATACCGAGCCAATCAAAACGCATCATTTAATTACCTCATTATTCACACCCTCGCGTCACCGATCAATCAGAGCGCGCCATTTCTCAGAGAGGCCACGTCCCCGGCGCCGGAGGTGGAGTGATGGGGATTTGTTTTGACGGCCCATGGTTGCCCGTATACTACCACGTACTACTGCCTATTTCTTTCGCTAATATTACATGGAGCGCGCTTTGCGCGCAGTTTACGGCACGAGCTAGTGAAAAACTTACATCAGTATGAATTTTTTAAAATATATTATCTTATTTTTATATACATTTTATCGATACTCTTTTTTTTAACAGATTTACTTAATAACTGCGTTTAAATCAATTAATTTTCCATAAAAAAAAAGTGCATAACAGTGTATAGTAATGTGAGCTTGTTACTAGCCCGCGCCACAAACCGCGCTATATAATATCAGCGAAAGAAATAGGCAATACGTAGTGCGCGGTTTCCTAGTTACTTAGTTAGTTACTATTGGGTTGGCAAGAAAGTAATTGCATTGTTTTAAAAGGCATCATTTTAAAAACCGCAATTACTTTCTACCAACCAATATAAATATATCTTGATAGAGTAAAGTTTTTAGACTTTAAGAAACTCTTTTTTAAATTGCGATATGATAATTTTTAACGGAGTTATAAGCAATTAAAATCAAAATGATCCTTTTATTTAATCCGTGATAACTCAGTAATAAAAAATTGTAGGAATATTAAAAAAAAACGATTTTGTAAGGAAAGTATCAACGTTATAATGTTATAAATATCAACCTTTCACGATAGGTAGTCGAAAATTTTCTCAAATTTGTTTTGGGCACGTTACAATCCCACAAAGTGAAAAGAAAATTTTCTGTTTTTTCAGCTCGTAGTTTTTGGTATGTAAAAATTACTAAACTCATATAAACTTAAAAAATGTGGTAAGCTTTTAAAAGTAGAGATTTCAAGCTTTAAAACCCTTTTTTTAAATTTAAATTTCATTCATTATTGACGAAGATATTGTATACACAACTTTGAGTTAAAAAAAACGCATTACTTCCTTGCCAATCCAATATTAGTTACTGTACCGCGTACCGCGCTCCATCTAATCGCATCCTGAGACTACCAATTACGGTCAAAGTTAGTTCACTTTATGTAATTTTATCTATGGTTAACGCCAAAAAGTTCATTTCTTTCTAGCGTTGGCGGGTCACAATTAAGCTTGATCGGCGTTGATGAAATCGGCTTTTAAAAACAAATTCACTGCTAATGCAAGAATTTGTATATTTAAAGCAGTAGATTTTTTGTTTTTAAAGCAATCAATTTATGTTTTTAAAACAATGAATTTGTGTTTGTAAAGCAGTAATTAAAGTAGTGAATGTGTTTTTAAAGCAATGAATTTGTATGAGTTGTATTATTATTAAATTTTGATTGCTTTTCTGTGATGATTTTGAGAATGTTTGAGATCATTAATTCGTAGAAAAGTAATAATTCCTTTGTTTAATTAATGTTAATTGTTGTTGGACGTGTGTATAAAATGAGTGTAAATTCATCTCTAGCACGATCTTAATTCTCACTAGAGCTATTAATTTATTGTTCTTTTTCAATAACTTAATTCATTATACACACACATACACCGGCAACAGCAACGAACTATCGAAGGTTCGAGAACGATTCAATCACGTGCGCGAGCGCCGCGCTCCAACGAACACGTCACATGCGGCCACCAATCCCATGCGCGGATTTTCTGTCGCGCATGACTGTTACGTCGAAAGTCGATAGAAAAAAATCTGAGGCGCCAATCAATCTTATACAACGAATGCCACGTAAAAATCATAATTGTGGCAAAATTTTATTGGAATTTATCAAGAGGAGATCCCGGGCCACGAAGCCAATATGCGCCAATCGTCCCCGCTCTCGCTCTCTTGATGTTCAGAGTCTCGCTATTGTATCGTGTAGAAAACTGCCCCGTGAAAAAAAACACCACGTGGAACCGCTAAAAGGAAGATTCCTTCGAGAACCGCCGAGAAATCGCCGCGATTTTCTATCGCTACTGAGTAAGAATTTGGAAAAGATGATTGTGTGTAATACTTTGTGATAATTTTCAATTTGTGCTGAATTTGTTGTTATGAAAAATAAAGTAAATTTTTTGTTAAACCACGAAGAAACGTAGTTCTTCTCATTTTTGTTATATCAGCCGTGTGCCGTCCTCTCGTTTTATTTTTTCGCGCGGTGCATTCCCGCACAGTCTTCATTAATAAAAGGTACTCCAACACATTTCTTCGTAAATGTTTTATGTTAAATTTGATTAAATAATTTCTTAACCCGAGAACAGGCACTTCATTTTTTTTACTTAAACGATCACTTGGAATACTTTTTACACTCCAGTTAAAAAATTGTTATTAACTATGTATGTTTATTAGCAATTTATTTTATAATTTATTATTTCTAAGAACATTATATAAGGACATTTAATCAATATTTTCTGTAAAAGTTAAAGAGAAACCAAGAAAATATTAAATAAATGGAAAAAACACATTAAATAGCTTATTATGACAGTATTGACAAAAAAGGAAGATATCAATTAATAAAATACTTCTATATTTTTTATGGAATTGTATATTTAAAGATTCGTAAAGAATAGTTATTAAAAAAAATAATAAAATATATTTGGTAAAATCCATCTTATAACAACTTAAAACAAGATTAAATCATACTATCATATAAAGTCATTTATATTGTATTGACTTCTCATAATTATTAAAAATGATTTATTTTTATCACATGAATGATGTGAAATATAATAATGATTTATTATTATAATTTAATAGAAAATTAAGGTAAGAATGGGCAATAGGAGTCAGACGCGATAATTTTTATGCAAATTAATACACAATTATGACACAACAATATTTATTGATTAACGCGCTTACATGTTTCGGCTCACTTTTGAGCCATCTTCAGAGAGCCGAAATATAAACGCGTTAATCAATAAATATTATTGTATCATATATAATTATGTATTAATTTGTGCAAAAATTACCGCGCCTGATTCCTATTGTCCTTTATTACCTTAGTTTTCTTTTGATAGTAAGGAGTCTCAATCAATCAACTTATGTTTTATAATTTAATAGTTATTATTATTTATTATATTAAAAAAACAAAGTTTATCTTGATATATACAAAGTATACATACAAAGTATACATATTATATAACAATGTGTCTGAGACAATGTGTCTGAGCATCAAATTAAAGTTTATATTTTAACTTGATGACATGTTTTATTTATTAACTGTTCAAAAAATTCTTTTATTTTATTATAATTGTTTTAGGCTCGTAGCCCTTTGTCTTTCTGTTTGTTTATTTTATTGAGCTTTGTTACTATTATAGTTTAAACTTTATATATTATTTTATATAAACTTATATAAATTTTATATAAATAAAAAAAATATCGTTAATCTTTTAAAATATTTTTTACTTATATTTGAACTTTTTATTACGTAAACGATCACGTGAGGTGTTTTCTACACCCCAAAGGATTTCATTAAGCTGTTACTACATGCGTCGAAACTGCTTTCTGTTGTACAGGTTATGTTCCGGAAACTTCAACTGAAAAGTATAAATTCCCGGTAAAGAAAGTTATTGTAATGCGAGCTTTGTTTTTCCGATGCTGGAATGTAAAAAACACCTCACGTGCCTGTTTTCTGGTTAAAAAGAGTGATCGCGAAAATCACCTGTTTTTTTTTCGGCACTCAATTTTGGAACTGAACTATGTATCAAAAATTTTACTTTATATTCAGACATTAATCACAGAGAGGTTTAAAGATAAGGTCAAATTTATTATCAGAGTAGAGAGGGATGAAATCAAACGGATTTTCGCATAGATGTGAACCCCCCCCCCCCCCTCCAACTATGATAACGATAGTTACCTCAACCTGAAACTTCTTTATAATTAATATCTCATTGCTGTATATTATTTGGCACACAAGTCAAAAAAGGTCCTTGAAGATCTAAAAAACGGGCAAAAAGAACCTCTTTTTTGATGTTACTTTTTATATTTGTATATGTAAAGCTTATGTTAAGTTCAGATTGTTATTTTAATATGTGATTGTTATAATGTTATAATTTTATTATTCCAACCCAAATAATGACAACTTTAATTCTCTGTCAAAAGTTATTACTCTTCGAAAAAAATTAATGTATTAAATGAAAAATTAAAATCCAGATGCTACAATCTTAACTAATCAAGTTAAGTTCTATTAAATTAAAAAGTAAAACACAAATGGTATTATTTTTTGTTATTTATACAAACTTATCTTTTAAAAAAAGGTAAAAAAAAAGCGCTAAACATGCAAGCTTTTCATGAAGAATCATTTGGGCCGGTTTCACCAACGCTAATTACTTAATTGACCGTGGAACTGACTAATTGCATTTGCTGTTTAGTAGAATTGACCATTTATGGTTGACACCGATTCGACTTAATCGAGTTAGTGAAACCGGCCTTTTGTATATAATACTAAATATCCAATCCAATTAATAGTAGTTTTAATTTTTTTTCAAGGATATTCTTATTGAAGATCTTCTTATTCCAATCCAAGTAATGACAACTTTAATTTTCTGTCAAAAATTATTACTCTTCGAAAAAAATTAATGTACCAAATGAAAAAGTAAAATTCAAATACTATAATCTTAACTAATAAAGTTAAATTTTATTAAATTAAAAAGTAAAACACAAATAGTATTGTCTCTTGTTATTTACTCTAATTCTTAATTACTTAACTCTAATGACATGTATCATTTGTGTAAAAGATTCGATATCAACAAAATTGGCGCCAAATTAAATTCCATGTAATTCGGATACCAAATTATATAAATAATATTAACTTTAATAATATTCCTATAAAAGATTTGATATCAAGAACTAGCGCAAAATTAAATCCCATTTCTTTATACTATGCCAAATTAAATAAATAATGAATATTAATCTAATGATATGTATTATTTGTATTAAAAAAATTGATATCAACAACTGTGGCGCCAAGTTAAATTCTACTATCAAAATAAAAAGTAAAACCCAAGTGATATTATCTTTATTATAAGTTACTTAATTCAAATGGTACTATCTTTTTTTTATGAATTTTTATGAAACCTAAGTATACGTATATCTTATTGAAGGATCTTTGTATTCCAATTCAAATGGTTTAAATTCCTCTTAAATGAAATTATTATATATCACAATTTATTCAAAAACATTTTCTCTTCCAACTGAAGTAGTGGTTATTTAATTCTTCTTCAAAATATTATACAAAACATTGCGTTACCTTGCTCAATTTAAGTGTTATCAAAAAAATTAAAGAGTTGACCGTATAAAATGAAAAAATTTAATTTAAATAGAAAAATTTTTCATGTAAAACACTTGGCGCTGCTATATCTTGATACGAGGGGTATCCAGAAAATAAGTTCCGTTTTTTTTACAAATAAAGTTTTTATTGAAAAAATCTAAAATTTACATGGATAATACTTGACAACTTCTAGTCTTTTTCTACATAATTCCCGTCAATCTCAATACATTTTGTATATCTGGAAACAAGCTTCGAAATCCCTTCTGCATAGAAACTTCCCGCCAGTTCTTTAGTCCAGTTAGTTACAGCTGTCTGAACTTCCTCGTCGCTTTGGAAGCGTTTTCCGGCCAAGGACTCCTTCAGTTTCGTAAAAAGATGGTAGTCCGATGGTGCTAGATCCGGGCTATACGGTGGGTGGGTCAAAACATCCCAACTAAACTGATTCAAAAGTGCAGTTGTTGAAGCAGCGACGTGCGGCCGAGCATTGTCGTGAAGAAGGGACACACCTGCCGTCAACATCCCCCTTCTTTTGTTCTGAATGGCCCGACGCAGCTTTTTCAAAGTTTCACAATAGCGCTCCGCATTTATTGTTGCTCCTTGAGGCAAAAAATCAATCAGCAGAATTCCTTTTTGGTCCCAGAAGAGAGAAACCATGATTTTTTTGACGGACTTGACCACTTTGAACTTCTTTGCAGTTGGAGAATAGGTGTGCTTCCATTGCATTGACTGTCTTTTGTTTTCTGGTGTGTAATGGGCGACCCAGATCTCGTCTCCAGTGACTATAGATTTAAGGAAGTCATTTCCCTCATCCCTGTAACGGTCCAAAAATTCTTTACCTGCAGTCACTCGTGTGGCCTTGTGTAGAGGAGTCAGTTCTCTGGGAACCCAACGGGCGCAAACCTTGCGAAATTCGAGTTTTTCTGAAACGATCTCATGGATAAGACTTCGGGATATCTCTGGAAAAAGGTTGTGGAGTTCATCTAAAGTTAAACGACGATCATTGCGAATCGCATTTTCAATTTTTGTCGTCAACTCATCCGTGATAAGGGAGGTCTGCCTCTCCCACTTTCGTCTTCAAGCGAATGTCTTCCTGCCTTAAATTCTCGGACCCATCTCCGCACCATAGATTCACTCATCACACTCTCTCCATATACAGGAACAAGCTGTTTGTGAATATCAACCGATTTAAAATCTTGAGCAAAAAGAAACTGAATGATGCCGCGCAAAATAACTCGAGAAGGAATCGGAATGGAGGTGGCGGGACGCGAAGTGGAGGACTCCATTTTGATAACCTCTCCTGACCGTGTTTCACGAGCTACTGACGCCGAACACCGCTCATTCTATTCGGTAGCTTCCCCTCTTCAATGCTGTGTTGCCAGCTCGCTCATACATCGACCTTACTAAACGTATAATACAAACGGAACTTATTTTCTGAATACCCCTCGTATAATAACAGTAGTAAAATATGAATGTAATATTTAGAAAAATAAGAAAAATAATACTTAGAAAATGTAATATTTAGAAACATAACATAAATAAAAAGCATGTTAATATGAAAAATTAGAATCATTTATTCATATCAAAAAATATGAATAAATAATTATAAAAAACGTGATTATAAATCAAAACATACAAAAAGAGTAGCATAAAACCGCAGCATTAGGTATTGTTTGTGAAATTTAATAAATCATTACCTTAATAAAAAATCTTTAGACGTTTCGACTACAATCTGGCCATCTTCAATAAAATAACAAATATCTAATTATAGATATTTTATTTTAGAACTAATCATTTTGTAATACGACAAACACTCCGCCAAAATATTTTCTTTTCTCGCAAGGGGGGAAGATGTCCCGGACGGTAAAAATCAATCTGACCGGGTGTAGTTCCCGAACTCGAAGCAGCGTGGCATTTTAGGGCGGAAGCACCGTTATAGAGCGGAGAGACAGAGGTGTGTCGTTGTTGTAAAACGTGCGTGACAATAAAACTTGTATCCGTGTGAAATATATTTTTGGCACTAATTAAAAAAAAATCCCTCCCGTGTCCCTGAATCCTACCTGACAATGTCATCTCTACTTCAATTATAACCAGCTAAACTAGTAATGAAATTATATAGATATAATAAAAATATCATCATTTAACAAATAAAGTATAAACAATTTACATTATTATGAGACAACATTGGGTAAGTGTCGGATAATCTAATCTCGCTTGACCGATGTCGCGCTCCGTGATTAGCCTAATATTCGGATTGTGTTCGACTTGCGAGTATACACATCGATCATTCATTTTATTTCTAATCAGAGAAACAAAACAACATAGCTCAATTATTTTTACGTTACAACTTTTTTGAATTTAGTTGGATTACTTAGTTTAAAACGAAAAATATTTCCTACTTATAATTTTGAATAATTTAGTAGCATTTATTTAGTAGCATTTATGGTTCATTTTTAAATAAAAACTTTTTTTATTCAATTAAATTGAAAAACTGCATTTCATATTCAGAATTTGAATTGAGTAGTATTCACGATGCACAGAAAATGCTAATATTATTTTTGAGTTGAAAGGCATAGAAATATGCTCTATGCAATTTCTATAAATGAATAAAAATGCATTTAGGATTGAAAAAGATTCATTTTAACATTCATGAATCCGTATTTCTGAAAATCTGAATCCATTTTAATTCATTTTAATCCATTCTCGTTTACTGGGCATTGCGACAATCGTAAAATGCTAGAGGACTTTTCTTCTTAGGTTAGTCCATTCTATCACATATTGGGTCATTTATAAAGTATCCGGTTTTTTGTCACTAGATGGTGTTGATGATCATATATCGGGCAACACTAATCAGATTGTGTCAAACGAACGCGCGTCTGAAAGATGACATTTTTTGTAAACAAAGTTTGGTGATTCATCAATCGTGTCAAAAGTTATATTGGTTTGAAAATGAGTGAAATTTCTGAAGAAATACGCTATGTGATGCTTTTTTATTACAAAAAAGACAAAAACGCAGCACAACATGCAGAAAAATTTGTGAAGTTTACGGCGCGGATGCTGAAAGTGAACGCAGGACGCAGGAGTGATTTGTTCGATTTCATTCTGGAAATTTTGATGTCAAAGATCGACTTCGCTCTGGTCGGCCAGTCACTAAAAAAGTCGATGAAATTTTGCAACTGGGCGAGCAAGACCGGCATGTGAGCTGTCAGGAGATAGCCAATGCACTAAGAATCAACCATGTGACAGTTTGGAATCATTTGAAAAAGACTGGCTACGCAAAGAAACTCGATATTTGCCAGATGAATTAACGCAAAGAAATTTGATTGATCGAATTTCCATCAGCGAAACACTACTAAAACGCAACGAAATTGACCCATTTCTGAAGCAAATCATCACGGGCGATGAAAAATGGGTGAAATACAAGAATATCGTTCGTAAAAGATCATGGAGTAAGCGCGGCGAACCACCACAAACGACTTCAAAGCATGAATTGACGGCAAATAAAGTGATGCTGTGTGTATGGTGGGATTGGAAGGGAGTCGTCCATCATGAGGTGTTACCACATGGCCTAACGATTAATTCAGAGCTCTACTGTTCACAACTGGATAGATTACAGGAAGCGATTAAGAAAAAACGACCAGAATTGATTAACAGAAAAAGTGTTGTCTTCCATCATAACGCCAGACCACACACATCTTTGATGACGCGCCAAAAATTGAAGGGGTTTGGTTGGGAAGTTTTGATGCATCCACCGTATAGCCCGGATCTTGCACCGTCTGACTACCATTTGTTTCGATCTCTGAGAACTCTCTTGATGGAAAAACATTGGCCGACAAAAGAGCTGCAGAAAATCACTTGAAAAAGTTTTTCGCCGATAAACCACAAAAGTTCTACACGGATGGAATTATGAAATTACCCGAAAAATGGCAAAAGGTTATAGATAATAATGGCCAATATATACTTGATTAAAATTGATTTTCAATAAAGAAAAATTTCATTCAAAAATTGAACAAAAAATCGCGGATACTTTTTAAATGACCCAATATATGAAAAACTTATCACTAATTTCCAAACACACTGTATAATTTAAAACACCCTGTATAATTTATGGCAAAAACAGAGCATTACCCACAATGATAAAACGAATTATTTCGTATTAAATATTCATTTATTTGATTCATTATATGTTCTATACACATTGATCATCAGTCAGTGTTATAAGATTGGCTAGCGCTGGTTAGCGCGTAGTAATGTTTGATAATACAAAAATCTCTTTCGTCCTAACACATTTACGTGTAATACTATATTTGTAAACTCTATATGTACAATTTCCGTCATTTATAGTTTGTCATTTTGACTTCATTTACAGAATAATTGTGATGCGTTTTCCAATACCGCCTTCGTCGCGTAGTTATTAACATTATGATGCAAAAATAATTATAAAAAGATACTTATAAAAATAATTGCGCATGCGTCAATAAAAAAAACAAATTCTAACGATTGCTCAAAATAAATATCACTATTTTCATCTTTTGTATCTTTTATATACCACTCATTGCAATATAATGGCCCTACTGTTTACACTTCGTTGTTCATCGCAGAATTTCTAGAGATCCTTAAAAATAGCATCGTTATTGTACCTAATAAACGATCATCTTGGCACGATTAAACAAGCATATCTGTTTCATTAATAATGCATTGATCACAATAATTTATATTTCCATGTGATTTTTCATAATTGCAAAATTTCTCTGGAATGCTGATAGCGTGCTCTGATCGCAAGCTCCCCGTTTCTCACGAAATGTGACTTAGTCTCTCTGTTTTAATTAATTCTTTTATAATTGAGGTAACTGAGTTGCTCATACTCGTCTTGTATGTGAAAAAAAATCGCTTCTACACTATTTCCATCACGAAACTCACGACAAGAAGGATACGATTAGAAGGATACGATTGTATTTCAAATATCGCATAAAGGAAAGTAAAAAGGAGTATTTAAGGTAACCAGTAAAGTTTTTTAATTATTCATTTGCAATTTCACGGTTACAGATCATTAATTGAAATTAAGTTATATAATACTGTGATTTCGACATTTCTCGAAAGACTAAACTCGTACTCTTGAGAGAATACTTGGAGTAGTCTTAACTTGTACATAATACTGATAATCGCGATTTTAAATGGCTTTTTAAATTAAACAAAAACGAGAAGTGCTGAATCGTCCTTCTTGTAAGATCTCTGTCGTTTCGCACGAAATTATCCTTTTAAAAATACATCTGACGCGTGTCGAGCGCAGTGTTAATACTTAGAACTACATCTAATGCGGGTCTAGCTGTACATAAATCATAAATAAAAATAGAAGACGAAATATACACCAGAGAAAGAAATGGTTGAAGAAGTGACTGATGGAGTCTTACTGACTGTTTCAACCATCGAGAAACGAACAAGCAATGTTTTTTGCGTCTGACCTTCATCTCTTCTTTCTTCTTCCTCTTTCTTCTCTAGTATTCGCATAACACAGCCTTATTCCTTCTTTTCTTTGCACAAATGGTTCCTTCTTGCGTTTATTTACTTCTCGTGATTCCTGTCATTGTCGGTAAATATCTACAATCTTCGACATTAAGGCCGCTGAGATCAGAATATAGGACGCTCGCTTTAAGAGATCTTTGTGTTCTCATCGCGTAACTTTCTTCAGTCAGCCTTGCCTTGCGGTACATCTGGTTCGCCATCGTCTGTCATTCGGGACGAGACCTTTCCTGATGCTGTCTTGGACTATTGCATCTTGTGTAGCATAAGCTGCTGTCTTGTATGCCATTGCTGTGTCGGACTAGCTCAGTTTAGTCGGCCAGAATATGGTCTGTCAGGAATTCGGGGGGGAATATTAGGTACGGGACGCCTATAACATAGATAGATATTGATTGTTGGATATGTGCTTATGAAATACAAAACAAAAACACGATGTAGAGGGGGAAAGGGAGTGATCATTCAACGAAAGAGACATGATATTGATACATAAACAGACAAGCATGAGAAATTCAACGTTAAAAAAATTTTTCTCTCTATATAAAGATTATGCGTTTCGCGGGTTTTCTCCGTGTTCAGATCCATTCTTGGAATGCCAACGTTTCATGAACCTTGCAGTCCACTTCATCAGGGCGAGGAGCAGTCTGATGCTACTCAGTATGAGTAAGCTGATCCTCGCTCTGATGAAGTGGACTGCAAGGTTCATGAAACGTTGGCATTCCAAGAATGGATCTGGACAGGGAGCAAACCTGCGAAATGCATAATCTTTATATAGAAAGCATCCGTGGAAGCCTCAAGAATAATTTTTCTCTCTCTTTAGTTTTAAATATATTAAAACTTACAATATTTTTAGCTAGTTAATAGCACCAAGAGATAGAAAAAAAGAAAAAGGAAGATATAATACATTCGAAAGCATGTATAATAGATACTGTAATAAATT